TTGTTTACTAGCAGTCCATACGTTGCATTTCTGTTTGCTATCCTTGTATTCTGGTAGTTAGCTACAACTAGAGACAAATCTTGTTTAATTGGAATTGATTTTATTAGTTAATCAGAGCTGTAGATATTTCAAGAATTTGAATTGTCAAATTCTGTAACTTAGAATCATTTCCTGTCTGTATAAGATTTAAGTCATACCCAGTTTCATATGTGATTAATGTGAGATTGGAACAATTTGAGACCTCAATAAAAGGGGTTAATTGTCTGCATTAGGAGTTAAGTAGTAAATAGTCAGTTAGCGTTTATAAAAAATGATTCATTATTTCCGTTTAATTTCTAGGATGCATCAAAATTTGACTTCTGTTTCATATTGGTTTTTTATTTTATGGGGTTTGTGATATCCAGTTTGGTTTTTAAATTGGTCAACAGTTTATCCTCATAATCATACAAGTTAAGCTCTGGTAAACTTGTCCCTGTAATTCAAACAGTCATGTACATAAGCATTGCCATGTGTTAAAAATTCAAATTTAGAAATGTGCAGCCAGTAGGTAAAGCCGTTGCTTGGTTTGTGTCCTGGGTACTAATATAGTTTGCCCCTCCAGAATGATGAGAGAAACAATTCACTCCAATTGGCTTCCGAGGAGCAGAAAAAGGCTGATGAGAGTGTCTTGAGGCTGGTTGAAGTGCAAAAGGTGTGGAAATTTAGTGTTAAACTCAATAGAAACTGCAAAACTTCCTTGCTATATCTGTCTTTTCCATGCTATATCTGTCTTTTCCATGGTTTTCACTGACTAGGAATCTGAACTTTTCAGAGAGAAAAAGAGGATGCCTTAAATAAAATACTTGAGTTAGAAAAGCAGCTGGATGCTAAACAGAAGCTGGAGATGGAGATTGAAGAGCTAAAAGGGAAATTAGAGGTAATGAAGCATCTAGGGGATCAAGATGATGATGCTGTTCAATCAAAGATAAAAGAAATGGAAGATGAATTAGGGGAAAAAGTTGATGAACTTGAGGATTTAGAATCTCTAAATCAAACTCTTATCACCAAAGAACGCCAAAGCAATGATGAGTTACAAGAAGCGCGTAAAGAATTAATAGCGGTATGCATTTTTTCCTCCTTTTTATTTTGAACTTTACTTATTAATAGTTATACTTATTTTATATACCCCGCTACAAGGATGCCCCCATTTTAAGAAAAGTAAGGGCCACATTGTTGAAGCTGGGCCCACACTGTGGTTCCACAATGAAAACTGTCTGGTTTTTTTAATACTCAATTAAGAGCATCCATCCAAGAAAAACAACCGAATTGGAAGCCATTTTGGTTACCATCTGATCATTACCTGGTTTCTTGAAACACTGGTCGTCAATTTCTTTGTCAAAAATTCTTTAACAATAGGTTTTAGATTTTGTTGATTTTTCGCAATGATGATTGTGGGGAAGCCTGTATATTGATTAATAATTAATACATACATTTTTATTTATTTATTTTGTATAGACTTAACGTACTTCTGATATTCTAAGAAACATATATCCCACTTTCGAATGTTTAAATAGTGACTTATTATGACTATTCTCTCCTTGTTACATTGCCTTGGAAGGTAATCGAATTGGAAGCTAGAAAAAGTACATTAAGAAAGAGGTGCTTTAGAGTGATGAGTTGGTAATCTATGGTAAATTCTGTTTTAGTAATCATCTAACCTCTCGTACTTTTTGTTTGGCATAATCACAGCTCAGACGAGAGTATAAGATAGAGATTGGAAAATGCTGGTTGTCGTGTTTTCTGTTTGGCATAATCTTGTGGTTCATACTTATAAAAACAAAAGTATACTTCCATTATCTTGTCAGAGAAGGAACAAATAAAAAAATTATTTGTAATTAGCATATTTTCGTCATATGATAAAGAGAGATAATGAAGTCATGAAAACTTACTGTTTATTCAGGGTTTGAGTGAAATGTTGAGTGGTCGATCTAATATTGGGATAAAGAGAATGGGTGATCTTGATCAGAAGCCCTTCATGAACACATGCAAGGAACGATTCACTCTTGAGGAAGCACAGGTGCAGGCCTCCACTCTATGTTCCTTGTGGCAGGACAATCTAACAAATCCTGATTGGCATCCTTTCAAGGTTATAACAGTCAATGAGGAGCCCAAGGTATGATTCTTAAATACCTTCAAATTGATGGTTTCGGAACTCATTTATATACCAACAATGCAAGTGGAGATGTGCACTCCAACTTGCAGTGGTATCATGATAAAAAGCTCATCTAGTAACTCGTTATTTCAACAAATACACACAGTATTCTTGTTTTGTTAATTTTTGTTTTCAACTATTTCCTGGTGTTTTTGTAATCATTATACCAAGTCTGAAACATAAAATTAGTATCTGGGAAGAACTAGGCACCCTACAAGAGTTTCAAAGATGGAAAGTTTTAGGATTCTAATCATAGGTGTGCTGTGTTTGGCAACCAACACAGTTTCTACAATTATATATATGGTGGGAGGAGTTATGCTATCTGCTTGTGATAATTTACATTGGCTCTCCTACGTGTATATTTTTATTTCTTATACCCAGGTATAAATCAGAGGTACCTTGCAAATGTATTGATAACTACGTAATAGGAGTTTGTTTTTTCCATCTGTTTTGTGTTAATAGATATTGGGTAAAAGTTGTGCTGAATAACAATTTCCTGGTTGAGATGCAGTGTGAAAGAAACTTAGAGATTGAAGTTCTTATGCATGTGAAGATACTACGTGTATTTATGTAAATGTCGTGTTAAATCACCCATTCATAATGACGATTGGAGGGTGGTTAGAAGATGATTAATTTTCCGAGATGCCATGTGATGCAGGAGATACTTGATGAGGAAGATGAGAAGCTACGAAATCTGAAGGAGGAGTGGGGCAATGAGATACATGAGTGTGTCGTTACAGCCTTGAAAGAACTTAATGATTACAATCCAAGTGGGAGGTATGTTATCTCTGAACTTTGGAACTTCAAAGAAGGAAGGAAAGCCACACTGAAGGAGGTTGTCAGTTTTGTCTTAAAGACTATGAAGACACTCAAGCGAAAGAGAACATGAAACGAAGGTTAGTTTCATTATTATTTGGAAGTTAAATGTTTCTCAAGATATTGGATTACTGTTCTCTTGTTGGGGCAATTTGTTAAATTCTCTGTTTGGATGCATTCATGATTGCACCAATGATAATCCTCGGCTGTATTTAATTTTATTAAAATGGATAGATTTGAGACATGCATTTGATGTCCTCGGCAATTCATCAGACCACTTTAGATATTGCTGTTGATTCGTACTCCACTTTGTCTTTCTTTTGTTTTATCTCAATGCATCTCGTGCGAATTCAACCTCAGAATATCGTTGTTGCAAGCACTCAATTGCGTTTAAATGACTTGAATCTCAAGGATTCGAGTAACGCAATAGTGTATAGAATCGTCGACTGTTGGAATCAGAACCATTCTTCCCGTTGTTAAGAATTGTTCTCCTACTATGTGAGGTGTATTGTGGCAGGCCTGGTAGCAAGAGGTAGAAGATGAACTCCAGAGCAGCGAGGGTCGATGGTAAATCTACAACCAGTGGGCAGTGGTTGGATCGGATGGCAGGGAAATCATGTTTCGCAGGGAGAAGAATTCCTCCTGGACAAAATGATTTATAATTTGAAATTTAATTTTGGATTAGAGATTTGAATCCAACGCGAAAGTTATGCTTCGAATCAGAAAATATTTTCGAGAAATTGAACGGAAATGTAAAATGTATGTAGCCATAAATGCAAACAACTATGCAAATGGCGGATCATAGTGATGGGGCATTTTTATTCAATGCATTGCTGTCCAAACATTTCCCCTCCACATGACGATAGGAACTTTCGTTGCATATAATGTCACGCTTACAATAAGTAGTTGTCACGTAAGTTTTTCTACTATTTCCGTAGGTGTGGGCCATCGAGTACATTGTCACGATGGTATCATGGTCTAATAATAAGTCAACTTTATTTTGCTACACATGACATTGTGTTATTTCAAGGCAACATTGCGACTATGTTCAGCAACGTCCATGACCCAAACCCGCACCGCAGGGACATTTGGAAAAAAAAATAACTAAAATTTGGCCTCCCTCTACGCCTCCAAACCCGTCTCCTTTTCCAGAACAGAGATTAATTCTGTTCTTCTCCTGGCATCGTCAAATTCCTCATCTTCTTGGTCGTCCATGACTACGTCACTGCGCTCTGGCACTTGACCTATGTGGTCTCCGTGCTCAAGCCCATCTACGTTTTCGAGTACTCGACCATCTGCGAGATTATTGATGCGGTTTTCGGGTCGGTTGTGGTGCACAGCGGGTAAGGTCCGTAAGGATTATGGGGCTTTTCTGTGAGGATTGTGGTTGGTGGCTATTCTGGTGATTGTAAATTTAATAGAGTGACTTTAATTGCGACTTAGTACTACGTTTTATTGTTATTTCTTTTTATATGTAAGTAAAAGGAATATCACTAGATTTCTCACTTACAAGAAAATAGGACCACTAGATCACAATACTAGTTTCATTAAAAAACTGTTATTAACGCTCTATAAATCTCATTTTACACTTCACACAAATATATTTTTCTTTTTAATTATATGAAGTTTAAGAGTGTACGAATGCATAAGCGCACTGAAGAAAATGGAGGTACTCCTATTTGGACGCTCTTCTCATGTCTTTCTATTTTGTGCGATCACGGTTAAGCGATGTTAACATTTTATATTGATTTTTTTATAGAGATAATAAAGGAAAAAACAATAGAAATATAAAATATGGACGTGACTTAATCGTGACCTCACAAATAGAAAAAGATGTGAAGGATATCCAAACAAGAGCGCAGACAATCTGCCTTGGAAGAAAATTCAAAGAAAGTGACATAGTGGATCCCACGGCCACCTGCCAACAATACCATGTCATTTTCACCTAAAAAAATAAAAAAATAAAAAAAATAAAAATCCTCTGTGTCTATTTATTTCATATTATCGCATTGGTATCCATTCATCCTTTTTGTTTGTTCTTCGTTCCTCTCTCTCTCTCTCTCTCTCACTCTCTCTCGTCTCTCTGCCTCTCGTTCAGCGCAAGAAGCCAAGAACAAACCAAAAACACCAAAAAATTAAAACAAAAAAACTGTTAAAAAATCTGATTACCGCCATTTTAAGACCCCATAATATTTATCTCCTTCTTCCTCCACCGACCTTCTTCTCTCCCACCATACCTCTCTCTCTCTCGATCGAAACCTCAACCTCGCTTTCTGCCTTCCTTCTCCTTTGAATCCGCAAGTTCTCGATGCACTTCGTTAAAAACCATCGGATTTTTTATGCCATGTTGATGTTCCTTTGATTTGAGGTTGGTCTCAATTCCTTTTCATTTATCTCAGTTTTTTCTTTTTGGTTTTTGTGTGTTTGTATGCATATTTCGATCAATTAATAAAAAACTTGGAGTTTGGTTGATTGATTTTTGATGGGTTTGTGTTGTTTTTAATTGTTGTGTAGCAGAGTTGAACGGGGTTCATGTAAATCCCGTCGATTCAATTGGATCCGCTGCATGCGTATTTGATTGAATTTGTGACTTGGGTGTTCAAATCTCACGGTTTTGGTCCAACTTCCTGGTGGATTTTCACTGCGGAATGCCGCTCTTACCGAAAATTGATTCGATTCAAATTCGTGAGGTGTGGAACGACAATCTTGAGGAGGAATTTGCGTTGATACGCAAAATTGTCGATGACTACCCGTATGTTGCCATGGACACTGAGTTTCCGGGCATTGTTATTCGTCCGGTGGGCAACTTCAAGAACAGCTACGACTACCATTACCAAACCTTGAAGGACAATGTGGACATGCTCAAGTTGATTCAACTCGGTCTCACGTTTTCCGATGAGCAAGGGAACTTGCCCTCTTGTGGAACTGATAAACAATGCATTTGGCAGTTCAATTTCCGCGAGTTCAATCTCAACAAGGATGTATTCGCCAGTGATTCTATTGAGCTTCTGCACCAAAGCGGCATCGATTTTAAGAAAAACAATGAAAAGGGAATTAATGCAAAGCGGTTTGGGGAGCTCCTAATGTCGTCTGGGATTGTGTTGAATGATAATGTGAATTGGGTCACTTTCCATAGCGGCTATGATTTTGGATACTTGCTAAAGCTTTTGACGTGCCAGAACTTGCCCCAAACTCAAGCAGGGTTCTTTAATTTGATCAATATGTACTTTCCGACAGTATACGATATCAAGCATCTGATGAAGTTTTGCAATAGCCTCCATGGTGGATTGAACAAGCTCGCGGAACTGTTGGAAGTGGAGAGAGTTGGTATTTGTCACCAGGCAGGTTCGGATAGTTTGCTCACGTCCTCTACATTCAGAAAATTGAAAGAGAATTTCTTTAGTGGTTCTTTGGAGAAGTATGCTGGTGTCTTGTATGGTTTAGGTGTGGAGAATGGACAGAATACTTTCTGAAGAGAAAACAACAGGAAAAAGAAAACAAGACCCGAAAGCGGTTTCTTTCTTAACCTTATCTGTGCCTGATACTGCATATTCATGTATTAATTTATGAGTTTACATATTTTTATTGAAATCTTCTTGTGCACAACTTTGGTACTTGTCACTTGTCGTTGCATGCACTTTGTTCGATCATTGGATTGACGGATTGGGTTGCATTCGCGTATAAAACCATTGTTTGCGTGTGGAAACAACTGCGTCTGGTGGAGGTACCAATTTTATCACCGGCGGGTTTTCGGGAAACTCTGTTTCTGTTCAAGTTGATCTTTCTCCACCTATGTGTGCTCTCGATGGTTTATGCACGTTACGTTAGAATGCGTAGGCTGCTTCTTTTGCTATTTTCTGTTGCTAATTCCGTTGAGTTTACAACATGTTGGATTTCTTGTGCCTTACTCTTTGTTGAAAGACCATGCCTTCCTGCTAATGTTGCCATTCCATTACATTTTGGTCACTTTACATGGCCTTGTCTTTCTTGATGTGAAATATGCCTTGATGAACATTTTAGTGCTTATAAAATAAAGGTTTTTTTTAGCCAAAATGGTCTTTTAGATTTGCATAACTCCTCATTACAATCAGTTACATACTAGTACGCGGCCAGTGCCAACTTTTGCCCCCTTTGGGACATGCTACTCGTACGCACAGATACTCTCCATGTGACCCATTTTCAAATAAACACTACATACATTCCCGGAAATACACACCTTATAGCTTGAGAGAGCTCTGCCTTCAAACAGACACAAACTAAAAAATTGAACAAAAATTTCACAAATCAATCAGTCTATCAGTAACATTAGAGAGAGCTTTTGCCTTCACATCCTTCAGCTGAGCCAAAAGATCTGCTGGTTTTGTGCCTGAGCTCATGGACTTTAATCATCTCAATTACATAAAAAAATTAAGAAGACAAAGAATTAGACAAACCCAAATTCGATTTCAAAAGAAATTAAACGAGGAAGATGAGAATTTAGCAGATGATACCGGTTGTTGGAATTGGGTAGCGGCGGCAGGTTGGGGAAGCGCAGCAGCGCGGGTTGCCAAAGCAAATGAAGCAGTGCGGGGTCTTACACCATCTCCAAAGCAAGTCGTCAAATTTTAAACATAAAATTTACATTTGAAAGCTTACGTGGTATATCGGTTTTTTTTTTTTAATTTTATTCTCTACTCGATTTGTTAAATTTAAACTATTATTTATTATATTATTTACTCTTCATAAATCATAAGTGTGATTAGTATTTTTAAAACAAAGGATAATAATAATATATTATAAAAAGCATTTATTACTCACTAAATATAGATTTGAAGCCAACTCTGTGACAACTCGTTCCAAATTTTACGTTTGTATTTTATTTTAAAAGCGTGAATTTACTAAATTGCCCTAGAGGCAAGGGCTTTGACTTATGTTGAACATCGTCTAGAGAGACGTATGGCTTATTCTTTTAACATATTCTCATAATACTCGTGGATGTGAACGCAGAGGCGAAAGCCGTTTGCGAGTCCGGATTATAACGGTATAGTTACGGACGTTCGAAATTGGTTATTCAAAGTTTAATGTTTATTTAAATTAAATCCCCACTTTGTAGGGGAAGCCCAATCAGAAAATGGAGGAAAGAAGAAGTAAAGTTGGCAGCCAATCAAAAAGAAGGAAGAAAAAAAAAGAAAAAAAAAATAAAAAAATGGGAAAGCTCCCCCAAAACCGTGACCCGACATGCACGACCATCCATTTTCCAAGGCCGATTCCGGCCAACTCCGGTTGATTTTTTCGATGCCACCACCATCATCTTGAAGCTCTCATTCCCCTCTACAAAACACACCCAAGAACCACCTTGATTAACCATGGTATGAGGCGGTTTGAGGCCACGAAAGTTGACGAAAATCAATGGTGCTCCGGCCACCATTTTCGATTTTCAGGCAAATCAGCAAAGCGATGGCCGATGCCACCACTTGGGCTTTGTAGCCCATCATCCCAGGAGAAAAACCCAACCAACCTTGACCCCATTGGACCACCGTGGACGACGAATCGACGTCGGGAAGTTTTAGGCACCCATCGGCTTTGTGGGCAAAATTGACCATCTTCCGTCCACTTTTGGACTTCGTGGCAGGTATGAAAGTTGCTCCACTCACTGATATCTTCATTTCCGGCGAGTCGAGGCGGCCGACCGCCACCCGCGGCGGCGCATGGCCAGTGGGCCGCCAATGCTATTTTTAGGCTATGTTAAATGTCTTGAATTCAGTTTTGTCATTTGAATGACGTAGGTTGATAGTTGGAACCTAAATTCGTTACGATACGTTACTTGATAAAAATGTGAATCGATGATCCGACCGTTGGATCATCACCAAAATTGGATACATTATAATACGTAATATTTAAAGTTCATAGGAATTTATGGATCGGAAATCCGACTTACAGATCTTCCTGAATTGGATTTGTAAGTTAGTAAAATAAATGTTCACGGCCACTTGTTTTAGGCAATTGGCGGAGATCTGACCGTTGGATCGTAATGAAATTTTAATATGTTATTGTAGAAACATATTTTGGATCGTTCGGAGTTGCGGATTGGAAATCTGATATGCGGATCTTCCGGGTCAAGTTATACAGGGTTGTAAACCCTACCGTCGATCTTTGATCGACGGTTAACTTGTGGACAATGGGTCTCAAACTATTTTAGAATGTCGTTGAGGTTGTGTTTTATGTGAATTACATATTCTACGGATAAGAGTTCTGAGATGTGATTTGATAATTGGTCATAGGGACCAATCATTTAGGACGCCTCGATGTGTGCGCTAGAGAATCATAGCGTGGACTCCAGGTGAGTGCATATTTTCCTTTTTATCGTACATATTGTTGAGAGTTCTATCGACACTTTTAAATTGATTAGGCATATTACTTTCATATATAATTATTGTGAATGCTTGAAGTACCAATATGAACTACAAATGGCTTGATCCCTGTCTAGGGTACGTAGGCAGTCTAACGAGAGGTTAGATGCAGCCATAAAATATTTGAGACAAAAGCCTTATTTGGGAAATTGAGTAATGCGAAGGAAATTGATAAAGACAAGTTTTAGTTTTGTGAATTAGTTAGTTAATTAGTGTTAATTGGGTTATTATGGATAATTATCCTTGAAAATAAGTAGTTCGGGAGTAGAGCGTTATTGATTGTACATTTCACACTGTAGTGTTTATAATTGAAAATGCTACAACATGGTTGAGTTTTAGATTGCATCATGGTATATCCATATGTATACTACTTGCATATAATTATTGGGAATGCTTTCAAGTGCAAAGGTGGACGCAGGACACCTAGGTAAGCTTCAGGTGACTATATGTTGATGTTAGTGATGGTAGTGAGTACGATTGTGTTGAGACATAGTATAGCTCATAAACCTGCACCCCGGTGTTAGTGCTTCCGCCCGTGGCCAGGGCACAGTCCTTCACGTGATGTTCACCTCCTGCAGCTTACGTTCACCTTGGATTCAAGGTTCGTGCACAGTCCTGTCGTACAGACCACTTTAGGTGGTTCCGACTCGTAGGTGACCCGCGATTATTCGCCCAGTCTTCACGTGATCGTAGCACTTGAGCGTATTTATTTACACCCAGTCCTGTCGTACAGACCACTTTAGGTGGTTCCGACTCGTGTGCAGGTATACTTATTGAGCTATTGGCTAGCCAGGATTGATGAGATATGGATAAGTCGTACACGTCATTTTAGATGACTCTGACTGATATATCACTTTGTATTGATTTAGTTCATTTGGCCTACTTATTAATGTATGGTGGAGTTGATGGCAAACCGTGGTTTTGGTCATTTCTGAGTATGGTTTGGATATATGTATATATGTTGTACTGTCTTATGGAAAACGATACGGGTTTTACAATTAGGGGCATTACTTTTAGAGAGGTAATAACTTTGGGAAGTTTGGTTTTATTGTTTACTCAAACCTTCTGTTTGGTGCCCTCCAGGTTTTAGTTGCTGAGTTTGTATCGACAAGAATCTGTGGTGAATCTTAGTATTGATGGATAATTCTGAGGGTATGATTCTTACCCGCACTACTGTACCTTACCTATGCTTTGACATCGCGTGTGATATGGGTTCGCTCCCACTCATAGCGCACTCTGGTACTTTGACACTTTTAGATTCAAATTTATTCACTTTTTCTACACTCTATCACATTTTATGGCTTCGTCACCTTCCAGGTGTCGCCCAGCACAGCTCGATTCAGGGTCCAATTGGACTTTCTGGGTCGGGGTGTGTCAGTTTGGTATCAGAGCATATGTTGGGCAGTATTGTGTTCATCACACGCGTGATGTGAGCACTCTTGGTTTTTGTGTTTGACGTTCGAATGATGCCACCTCGTTGAATATGGAAAAATATGTTAACTTTTCTTCAGTTTTGGACAATTTTGTGGTCTTGACGACATTTTATAAAATCATTTTGGCAGTTGTCCTTAGAATTGAAACGAAGATTTTCCTTGTGGAGGAAAGGTATAAAAGTGAGGCAAGTTGTTGGCCTAAGTAAATGTTTTGATAATCATTTATCGCCAGAGATATTACCAAATAATTCTATCATTGTCTTACCACCGTTAGTATTGATCCTTTAGAGATTGGAAATCTTAGTTAGTCTTGATTTCTTAGTAACATTTTGCGGAAGATCATTTGAGGGATAATTATTTGTTTGGTCCCTATTAGCACTAATATCTTCAAGCATACTTGTGTTCATGTTGGATCTTTAGTAGGAAGATCAACTGTCGATGAAGTTTTTTTGAAAGTAGATCTTAAGTAAGGTCTTTTTCTAGCATTGAGATTTTTCAATTAACGCTATTCCCAGATTTTTGCTTTTGTAGTTGTACTCATTAAATGGGTGAGAATAGGCTTGCGAATGTAAGTTGTCATATCCTGGGAGTTGTAGAAATCCAAAAAGCAATCATCAAATCCTCCTAGGATCAATGAACTACTTCGCTTGAGCCGAATAAATTAGGATCGTGGAAGCTTAGGAATAAGCTTTGCAATAGGACAGTAAACTCATGATTGTTGTTTTTACCCTATCACTTATCTAGGCAAACGAAAACCCTTTGACTAACC